AGGTGGCTGTACCATTTTGCAATCCCACCAGCAATGAATGAGATTGCCTGTTGTTCCACATCGTGACCCGCGTTTGGTGTCATCTAGGTTTTCTCCTACTATCTTCTAGGAGTTTTATAGTTTTGTGTTTTACATTTAGATTTATGATCAATCTTGAGTTAATTTTTATGAAGGATGTAAAGTCTATCTAAATTCATTTTCATGCATGTGGATATTGAGATGTTTCACCACCATTTGTTGAAAAGACCCTTTTTGCTCCATTGTTTTGTCTTTGCTCTGTGGTCAAAGATCAGTTGATTATTACCTATGTGGGTCTATTTTTGGCCTCTCTATTTTGTTCCATTGATCTATTTGTGTATTTGTTTGACAGTATTATACTGTCTTGATTACTGTATCTTTGTAGTAACCTGAAGTCAGGTAATGTCAGTCCTCCAACTTTGTTCTTCAAAATTGTGTTGACTGTTGTGGGCCTTTTGCCTCCCCTATAAATGTTAGAATCATTTTGTTGATATGCATAAAATGATTTGCTGAGAATTTGAGTGGGATTGCATTGAATCCATAGATGAAGTTGGGAAGAACTGATATCTTAAAAATATTGAGCCTTGGCCGGGCACAGTGGCCCAAGCTTGTAATCCCAGCATTTTGGGAGGCCTAGGTGGGCAGATCACCTGAGGTCAGGAGTTCGAGACCAGCCTGGCCAACATGGTGAAACCCTGTCTCTACTAAAAATACAAAATTAGCCGGGCGTGGTGGCATGTGCCTGTAATCCCAGCTACTCAGGAGGCTGAGGCAGGAGAAGTGCTTGAACCCAGAAGGCAGAAGTTGCAGTGAGCTGAGATTGCACCATTGTACTCCAGCCTGAGCAAAAAAAAAAAAAAGCAAAACTCCGTCTTTAAAAAAAAAAAAAGGAATATCTGGCCATTTATTTAGTTCTTTGATTTTGTTCATCAGAGTTTTAAAATTTTTCTTATATATTATAAAACTTTGTTAAATTTATACCTAAATATTTTATATTTCAAATTCCACTTATTCATTGCTGGTATATAGGAAAGCGATGAACTTCTGTATATTAACCTTATATCTCCCAATCTTGCTAAAATCACTTCTGTATTTTTTTTAAAGAAACACTACAGATACACTTAAAAGCCTCTTTTACTATGTGTGTTTATCCATAAACAATATGAAGTATTGTTTTTGATATTTAAAAATACATGCTTAAATATTATCCCTTTCATATCCTTTTGAAACTTGCTTTTATTACCATTAGGTTTTCAATATTTATTCATGTTTGTATACATGTTTCTTGTTCATTTTAACTGCTGTATAATATTCCATTGTGTTTAGACTCCATCTATTTTATATTCCAGTGGAATTTATCCATTCCTGAATTGTTAGGTATTTATGTTGTATATAGGTTTTCTTTATATTATGACCAGTGCTTCAGTGAACTTTCTTGTACATTCCCTTGTGCCACTTTGTGAGAATCTGTCTAAATTATAATGTACATTTCCCTGATAACATATAGAATTTGAAATCTATAAAATCTGTTTGGTATTTGGGTTTCCTTTTCTGAATGGTTATATTCTTTGCCTCTTTTCCTATTGGAGTTTTAAGAATTATTTGTAGAAATTCTTTGCATCTTCTAGATATTAAGCCATTACCAGTATCGTGCGCTGCAAGAATTCTTATAAACTCAGGCAGTCCTGTCCTGGTCCTTCAGTTTACTCCACGGGCCAGTTTGCTGGAGTTAAGTCAGCTTCTGTTTTTACTCCTGGGGTCCCTTTATTCTTACTTAACAGTTGAGTTATGCTACTAAGGCGGACAATCCCTTCAACTGTCCATCAGAATGAATTTGCTTTGTCAGTTATGGTTCATTTTTTGTTCAATAAGGCAGTATAGAATAGTGGTTAAGAGTTGGGGCTACAGAGTCTTTACTGCTTGTGTTTGAATCTTAGCTCGATGACTTTATTATGTGATGTTGGCAAATTACTCTTTTGTACTTGGCTTTATCATCTATAAAACCAATGAGGGTAGAACCATTATGATGACCATTTTATGTTTGGTGAAACTGAGGCTAAGGGAGATTAGGTCAGAAACATGAGCAAGTAGAAAAAACATGTGTGCCTCTCTTTTAACTTTTTGCTTTCACTAGAGGCATGAGTATAGAGAAGTATTTATTTAACTTAAAAAAATATAGTAGCAGAAGCAGTGATAAGTCCCTGACTCACAGCCTCAGTGTTGGGAGAAAACCATAGGAGTGAAGACTATAGAGAACTGAAGTGTCCATACCTAAGTCTGTTTGTAGTGTGGAAAACCATTTGTGTCATTTTTCATGAAAATAAAGTGACAGAAACCCAAACCATGATTTTCATGACCTTAGCTTGATGTTTTACAGAGTGGTAAATTTGTAAGAAATACATAATTTTGATACTATCCTAGGCCAGAGAACTCATAGTTGAAATAGGCCTATCATAAAGAGAACACTGTGGGCCACACTTAGGGCATCAGTCTGGTATACAACTTGATTTGGACTGACAATGGAAGGAAGAAGAAACTCAAGAAACAAAGGAATTTGGCCAGGCGCAGTGGCTCAAGCCTGTAATCCCAGCACTTTGGGAGTCCGAGACGGGCGGATCACGAGGTCAGGAGATCGAGACCATCCTGGCTAACACCGTGAAACCCCGTCTCTACTAAAAAAATACAAAAAACTAGCCAAAGTGGCGGGCGCCTGTAGTCCCAGCTACTTGGGAGGCTGAGGCAGGAGAATGGCGTGAACCCGGGAGGCGGAGCTTGCAGTGAACTAAGATCACGCCACTGCACTCCAGCCTGGGCGACAGAGCAAGACTCTGTCTCAAAAAGAAAAAAAAAGAAACAAAGGAATTCAAGTAGCAAAGACAATTTCTTTCTAGGAGAAGGAGAATAAGTAGAATAAGTATGATTTGGCTTCTGTATCTTCTTCTATTTTTTTATTATAAAAAGAAATCTGCTGTGGCAAAAAGTGAAGCAGTATAGGAAGGTATAAAGTAAAAATTAAAACATAAAAGTTTTCCAATAGTATATACCCAAATTAAAAGGAGGGATTCAAAAAGTTATTTGTACACTCGTGTTCATAGCAACATTATTCACAATAGCCAAAAGATGGAAATAACCCAAATGGTCATCGATGGATTAGTGGAGAAACAAAATATGCATACAAATATATATACGATAGAATACTATTCAGCCTTAGAAAGCAAAGAAATTCTGATACATGTCACAGCCTGGATGCACTTTGAAGACATTATGCTAAGGGAGTGAACCAGACCTAGGAGGAGAAATATTGTGTGATTCAACTTATATGAGGTTCCTAGAGTAGACAAATCCTTAGAGGCAGGAAGTAGAATAGTGACTACTTGCCTGGGTGCAGTGGTTCGCGCCTGTCATCCCAGCACTTTGGGAGGAACGAGGCGGGTGGATCACAAGGTCAGGAGTTTGAGAACAGCCTGGTCGGTCAACATAGTGAAACCCCTTCTCTATTAAAAATACAAAAAATTAGCTGGGCGTGGTGGCGGGCACCTGTAATCCCAGCTACTCGGGAGACTGAGGCAGGAGAATCACTTGAACCCAGGAGGTGGAGGTTGCAGTGAGCCAAGATTGCGCCACTGCACTCCATATTCCAGCCTGGGCAACAGTGCGAGACTCCATCTCAAAAAAAAAAAAAGAAAAGAAAAAAGAACAGAACAGTGACTACTAGGCGCTGGGAGGAGTTATTGTTTGTTGGGTATAGAGTTTCAGTTTGGGGTGACGAAAAAGTTCTGAAGGTGAATAATGGCAATGGCTGTACAACAGCACAAATGTACTTAAAGGCACTGAATTGTACACTTGAAAATGGGTAAAATGGTAAGTTACATGTATATATATTTTACCACCATAAGAAGTCTCCCAACACCAGCCTACCAGTTATAGTTGGCACTGTAAACAACTTCTTTTATAGCCATCTAGATAGGGCTATGCAAATACAAGCACAGATACAAGATTATAAGCATACTCTCAATGCTCATTCTTTGGAACACTCATTTATGTGCCAGGTATTTCCCAGTGAACAAAACTGACAAGGTTCCTGCTGTCATGGAGCTTTTAAAAATTTTGTTTTATGCAAATGGATATTGAGGTACATACTGTTTTATACCTCATTTTCCCCCTTAACAAGTATCTTTGGACATCTTTCTGCATTAGCTCTTATATAGATCTAACAACTTAATGGCTTCATAGTATGCCCTTGTATGGATGTGCTATCATTTGTGGCTGCATTTTTCATTGAATGGAGGAGGGGAGGCGGAGGTATAGAGCTTGCTATGGTTTGCTGCTGTTGTAAATTAAATTTTTATTAGGAAAATAGTATAGCCTTCTTATAAAAAGTGCAAGAAAAGTAAAAGTAAAAAGTAAAAGTGAGAAAAAAAAAAACAACAACAACCCACCCAGACCCAAAGTTACACAGAGTTAAGAGCTGTGCTGAGCCGTATTCTGTCTAGATCCTATTACTGTAAGAGTCAGGTGATTTCTTAGTTACCATTTGTATGGTGTCCCACAGTCAATGAGATCACATTAAGAAGATTGCTTTGAAAACCATTATGCTAGAAATATTATGGAAGTCATCTCAGTTTCTATTAAACAAATAAAAAGGACTTCATGAAGGGATTCTGGGTAGCAAATGAAGAAATATTTAAACAACTCTGGAAAGACAGGAACAGGGTGGCTTTAGGAGTCTCAATATCAGTGCTTATCCCTTTCATTTTCTATGTCTGCTTAAGATGCAGTTCCTGGGAGAAGATGAATGGCCTAGAGAACATGTACCTATTGATGGTGAAGTAGGGAGAGTTCTGGGTTTTTGTGCTCCATGTGAATCTTATGGAGTTGGGGAGGTGCAGTTTTGGAAAGGATGGGATTCGAGGCTGGCAAAACCATCTGTCAGCCTTGCGATGTCAGCTGTTATAACCACAGATTCTTACTTCCTTCTTAAGGAGGAGATGACCGCCGGGTTCTGCTATGGCACATGGAACAAGCCATCCACTCCAGGGTCAAGCCCATACAGCTGAAAGGAGAGCACCATTCCAACATTTTTTGCCTGGCTTTCAACAGTGGGAACACTAAAGTGTTCTCTGGAGGTAAAAAGGAAGATTCTACCTTGGGAACGTCACTGTGGTTGGGATTTTAGAGAAAAGAGTGTGAAAATAACTCCTTATTTTTCTTCCTGTATTTCATTGAGCTGTGGAATTACTGGTTTCTCATAGCTTGTCTTTTCTGCATTACAGCAGTCTATTAGGATAGTGTGTGTCTTTTCTCTCTCTCTCTTTTTTTTTTTCTTTCCTTCACCTGTCTTTTTCTTTATTTCTGTCTGGCAGAAAACTTTTCACATTGCCGTCTGGTACACAGAAACCCACACAGACACACACACACACACACACACATATTTGAAACAATACTTAACCTTTCTATATGTGGCATACTCTGATTTTGTTTTTTATTCTATTCTATTTCATTTTTAAAGATTATGCTGGCCATAACTCAAATGGATGTCATAACCCACAGATGGCTTCTGTTTGAAAAGTGTTGTGTTAGGTACAATTGAAATGACTGGTGCTCACACCAACCTCTTGGTGATGGCTTCCATCAGCCATACTCCTTCTCACCCCCACATTTCTAGTTCTGACCTCTTTTCTAAGCTGCAGATTTTCCCACTGAATATCTACCTGTGTTCCAAAAGCAACTTAAATACAATAGCTCTAAAACCAAGATCATTAGTCCTCCCTTGAGGGAAAATTTCTTCTTGTCTGCTGGATTTTCTTTCTCAGTTATTACCATTCACCCAATTATATAAGCTATTAAGTTTAAGAAATTGCTGACAATTAACCATTTTCAACTTTAAAAAGTAGCAGTTTCACATGGTTCATTCTACCTATGATCTTGGAGTCATCCTCAAACCTGTCTTTCTTACATTTCCACATCTAGTCTGTCACCAAATCCTGTCGGGTCTATCTTGAAAGCCTCTCATATTCATCCTTTAGTTTGGCCTGGTTTTTTGCAATGGCTTTCTGTGATTTCTGTTACCACTGTCCATCCTCCTTTGAATTCATTTCATATACAAGTTTACTTTTAAAAATAAAGGCTGGACCATGTGAACCATTGAGCCTACAGTGCCTAAAAAATAAAGTCTAAACCCCCATCTGTCTGGCCTGACCTCCCTTCCCTGAGTTATATACTCTAGCCCATCAAACTATTTGTCATTTGAAGAATGCACTGCACGGTACTATTTTGTCCTGTGCCTTTTATTCATGGTGTTCTTCCACCTTAATTGTCCAGTCCCCACCAATTCCCCTAAGCCTTTCATTGGTAGGAGTTTTGAGTTATTTGAGTTTCTCTTCAAATATCTCCTTCTCCATGTACTTTCACCCTACTTATGAAGGAAATAATTGACCCCATAGCTAGATCATATTGCTACAAAGCAAACCCTCTTGTTGCTATTAGTTGTTTGTCCAATTGGACTGTGAGTTCTCAAGGACAGAGTAGAATCTTATTCTTTTTATATACCCAGGACCTAGCACTGTGCCTGATATCTAGAAGGCATTAGTATGGGTTTACTGATTTCATTGGTTTGCACCCACAATAGAATTTACAGCCAGGCCTTTGTTTAAGATGCCCTGGGCCATATCTTTACTGCTACTTTTGCTTTCTATTTAAGTGACTGTTGGTTGTGCATTTTAGCATAGAGTGGGGCTTTTTTTATGTTTTGTCTTTTTATATTCAGGTTTTAATTTTTTTGCTATACAAACCATTTGAAGGCAGGACTACACATATCATGAATATAATTTATATCCTTTGATAGAATAAGGAGAAATACAAGATTAAAACTTTCACATCATTTGGAATCACAGTCATCAAGTTTTAATGCTGTGAAAGATGATGTGGCTAGGTATGGTGGCTCACACTTGTAATAATCCCAGCACTTTGAAAGGCCAAGGCAGGAGGACTGCTTGAATCCAGGAGTTTGAGACCAGCCTGGGCAACATAGTTAGACCCAAACATGTTAGATCTCTACAAAAAAAAAATTTTTTTTTTTTAATTAGCCAAGCATAGTGACACATGCCTGTAGTTCCAGCTACTAGGGAGGCTGAAGTGGGACAATTGCTTGAGCACAGGAGGTCGAGACTGCAGTGAACCATGATTGCACCACTGCACTCCAGCCTGGGCAACAGAGCAAGATCCTGTCTCAAAAGAAAGAAAAAAATTTTTAAAAGAGCATGAGGATAGAAATATTAGCAAACATTTATTGGGGGCTTATTAAGCGCTCAGCCCTATTCTGAATGCTTTTACAGTTGTACTCTTACGCTCACAATTACTCTGTGATGTTATTATCACTATTCTGTAGGTTACAAAGCTGGGTCATAGAAATGTTAAAGATTTTATTGCGGGTCTCATAATTAGTGAGTGTTCTGCTGAAAAAAAAAAAGCTAGTGAATTAATTTGCCAATGATCATTTAGTGTTTTCCTTGATGGCCACAGTTTTGTTTTGTGGTGTTTCCCCAACATTTTTTCTTTTTTTTTTTTTGAGACAGTCTCTCTCTCTTGCCCAGGCTGGAGTGCGATCATAGCTCACTGCAGCCTTGAACTCCTGGCCTCAAGCGATTTCCCCCACCTCAGCCTCCCTAGTAGCTGGGACTTCAAGGGTGTGCCACCACCTGGCTAATTTTTTTATTTTTATTTTCATAGCGATAGGGTCTAGCTATGTTGCCCAGGCTGTAGCCACAGTTGTTTTTTTTACATCATCCACTGGATAATACATGTTGGGAACTGTTACTATGTTATACTTGGCTGCTATTATTTTTAAAAAATTCTCTGTAAGAGTGTCCTATCCTTCTTAAATGATTTCTATAAATCTTTTTTCTAGCTAACACTTCTAATTTGTATTAGCATTGGCTTTGTTCATATTTTTTCCCTGAAAACTTAATAATACTAAATTGTAATGTGGACAGGGACCACCTTGCAGGAATGATCAAATGTCTGCTTTTTTCTTTTGCAGGAAATGATGAGCAAGTTATCCTCCATGATGTTGAAAGGTAAATAGATTGGTGGTATGTGAAGGTGATTGACTTTGTTTTTCATATATGAAGAGGCAAATATTTCTTTAGACTAAAATTGGATTTTGTTTTTTGAAGAAAACAGCGTGAAACCAGCTGTTCTTTTCTAAAATATATTCCTACAATAGTTTGAAATAAAGTTTTGATTTAAAAAGGAAAAAGGGATTTGAAAGTTGGCATGAAAGTATACGTTTTAGATGAAAATTTAAAACAAGAGTTTAGAAGAGAAGGAACCCTAATATTTAAGAACAGTAATAGCTAATATTGATTGAGTTCTTACTATGTGCCAGACACCATTGTAAATGCTTCGTACATATTAAAATTTGTTTAATCCTCACACTTACTTTCTAAGGAGATACTATTGTGATCTCCATTCTAGATGAGGAAACGGAGGCACAGACATGTTAGATAACAGAAGGTCAAGTGACGAGAACCTGAACTTAGGCTACCTGGCGTCAGAGCCATGCTCTTCATCAGATTGCTAGGGGACCCCTCTTCCACCCTGTTGGCATCAGACTTGGCTGCTCTAAAGCTTTCCCTTGCTCTTTGAAAATCAAGTACAGGCCGGGCGCTATGACTCACGCCTGTAATCCCAGCACTTTGGGAGGCTGAGGCAGGCGGATCACAAGATCAGGAGATCGAGACAATCCTGGCTAACATGGTGAAACCCCGTCTCTACTAAAAATACAAAAAAAAAAAAAAAATTAGCCGGGTGTGGTGGCGGGCGCCTATAGTCCCAGGTACTTGGGAGGCTGAGGCAGAGAATGGCATGAACCTGGGAGGCGGAGCTTGCAGTAAGCCGAGATTGCGCCACTGCACTCCACATTGGGTGACAGAGCAAGACTCCATCTCAAAAAAAAAAAAAAAAGGAAAATCAAGTACGACCTCCAAATCTGTACACAAGCAGAAGAATTCTGTAATAAATGAAAATACTAAACTCAGCTGTTGAGTCACTTTTAAATATGCTTATTTAACACAAAAATTATAAAATCTCTAAAAAGACTCCTTAATAGTACCTTTTCTTAAACCTGAAAGTTGACTACCTACCTTTCAGGAAATATAATATTTTTCAGGTTTAGCTGGGTTGACTTTCTCCTAGAAATGGAGAAGATGGCACCCTCGGTACTGAAGTGCTGGGACTCTGCACTATGCTTGTGTGTATGTGTGTGCCTCTGTCTTGCTCTCTATCTCCCAGCAGTGAGACATTGGACGTGTTTGCTCATGAAGATGCGGTATATGGCTTGTCTGTGAGCCCAGTGAATGACAACATTTTTGCCAGTTCCTCAGATGATGGCCGGGTTCTCATTTGGGACATCCGGGAATCTCCCCATGGAGGTAGGGTCACTATGCAAAAGACTGTTGGACTGTATTGAGCAGTTTGGTGTCAGATTCATTGAAGATCCAATTTATGACCTCAGTATCTATGTGCAAGTGATGTCAAGGGAAAGGAAATGTGAAACACTCACATGGGGGCATAAGAGGTCTTTGAAGGCCTTATCCTCCACCTAAGTACTCAGGAGTGAGGCACCTTTGCCAGTCCTTCTCTACCCTCCTGTGGCTCTCCACAGACCCTTGTACCTTGCTGTTTAGTGCCCCAAGGAGCAGAAGTTGTGGTGCTGACATGGAACTATGCTTGATTACTTACGGAGAATGGGGGTGTTATGCGCTTTCCTGCATCCTAGTTTCAGGCTTGTTATTTTGTTGAACCACAGAATCTCAAATTACCTGTGTATAGGATCTCAAAATGATGGCAAGTAAACTCTATTTAAAGGGGATTGTCTGTGTGAGTGCCTCCTCTGAATGTGCCCTTTGACTCTGATGTGTAAAATGAAGAAGTTGCTTTGTTGACTTTCTCTGAAGTTCTTCAGGAAATGCATCTTCTCAGCTCATTTCCTACGGAGAGATTTCTGTAATTCTACCTGTCTTCAGAAGACCCCTTCCTCTAGTACCAGCCTTAGTGCCACTGCCATACTCACCCTGTCCTTTAGTGCAGATTGTAATGATCACAGCTGTGTACCTAAATTTACTATCCTGCCTGCTTTGTCTGGCAGGATCTGGGTCTTTTAATTTTTTTATATTCTAAACATTTTACATTCTGGGCCGTGCTCATTATTTAGGTTCAGGCTATAAGAGAAGCTTGTTTTTAGGGTTAGGTAGGTAAGGTAGCAGGAAGTAGCAGCTGTGGTCAAGTCACTGTGGGCTTGGTAGGTGAAATTCTCCTTAGTCTGAACTGCCTGATGGCGGAGATGACTGAGTGCTTTACCTGCTCAAAGACCTGTGAAGTACTGCATATGGAGGTCATAGACTGAGAAGTGCTTTCTTTGTATTACTCTAACAGGTCCCATAGGAGTATATCCTGCTAGGTAACTAAGTGGTTTCTTCTTCACTTGGAACCTGCTAATTTTTGTAAAATGATGCAGGGTTTCTAGGTGAAGTTGATTACAGACTGGCTAGATGTTAGGGAGCATTGTGAAGCAGAAGAGAAAAACCACACCATTATTTCACCATGTCTTAATTTTGTCGTGTTTTGTTTTATCTTCATCAAATCTGTGTGCAGTTTAAAAACCTTTAATTTCTAAAACTAATACAATTGGATTAAAAGCATAAGAATCCTACCAGTAATTGGTTGTGAATTTTTTCAGCTCCTGCGGAATTCAGTTTTACTTACTGTAAAATGGTTTGTTTTCCCATTTTTAGTAACCATTTCTGTTTTGTCTCAAGATCTGATAGCTACTATATATATTTCTGGGTGTTATAGCTTAAAATGTGGTTAAATGTGTTTACCTTGCTATGTATAGGACTCATGGGGACCTCGTGAGTAGGGGTGACTGGTGAAATTATGTACTGTTTTGGGGCACCAGGTCATTGGAGTGGTTATTAAAGAGTGCTCCGACCTGCATTCACATTTCTGCTTATCTGCCTGCCAGTGGCCCAAAGGTACCTGGAATGAACTGGTTGTAATTTTTCTTTCCACAGAACCCTTCTGCCTGGCAAACTATCCATCAGCCTTTCATAGTGTCATGTTTAACCCTGTGGAGCCCAGGTTGTTGGCCACAGCCAATTCAAAGGAAGGAGTGGGACTCTGGGACATTCGCAAACCTCAGAGGTGAGTCCCCTTTATTCATAAGGTGTTAAAACTTTCCCCTGCCTCATTTCTCAGGTAATGTGACCAGCCAGTAAGTGTTGTAAGGACCTCTTTGGCAGTTCTCTCTGCTGGGCGTTTCTTAAGATAAATAGTGTGTCTCAAGCCAGGAGAGCCTGTTTCCAAGGAATAGACAGTGAAAAATCCATACTCCTTGCTGAGGAGGAATCATAAACAGTAATCTGGACTGTAGACAGGGTCAGTTTTAGGCAATTATCTGAAGTAGTCAGAGCATCCCTTTAATATTGCCTTCTCTCTTCAGGCCCAGTGTTCCCCAGATGCATAGGAGCTCTTGGTGTGGGGTGGGTGGAGGGGAGGAGGTGGAGGTGGAGATTTGCCAAACTTGTTGCTGCTGAGCCAGAGGTTCTTAAGCCTAGGTTGGAGGGGATCCCTAAGAGGGCTTAAAAAATACTGAACTGCCAAAATTATATGAAAATTATATATTATATTTTCAAATAAGTGCATTTTCTGTTTATCAAAAGGACTAATGACCTTTATAGTGACAACAACAAAAGGTTGAGAGCCATTGCACTGTGGTGTTCACAACCTCATGTGTTCCTCCACATGGCACTATGAAAAGAGCATACTTAAGACAATCCTGAATGATGGCATGAATCACTAATAGGGGAATCTCAGGCATCATTAAAGGATGTAGGAATGGGGGTGAGTAGCAGGCTCTTTTATGTTTCTTAAGTCCCATGGGGGAGGGACTACTTTTTATGGCACCTGTACATAAAGCTGGCCATGCTTTATTTAAAAACTTCCATGCATTGCTAGCTAGCTCCTCTGGAAATTCTGCATAGATGTAATTTCCCACTTCGTAAAGCAATGTTGCAAAAGAGTATCATGGAAACTAAGTGATGTTATAATTTATTTCATGGGCCTCAGATGAAAGGAATAGTTAAGTACAGAAGATTATCTTCCTTGATGATTTTTACTCCTAGCTGATTCTCTCCATGGGGCAGTAAGAGATGGTTGGAACTATTGTGGCAGATACGTGTAGCCTGGAGGGTTGTCCCTGGCATTGAGCAGGGCTCCCTAAGCTTCCTGAGGGCAGCAGAGATTTCTCCTGCCCCCTCTTGCATAGGCACCTGGCTCTTGCTTTTACAGTCTATTGAAATGTGTGTAGTGGCAGGACCCCTAATGTGCTTTTGCACTGTGTACTTTAGGAGGCTTGCTGTCTGCCAAGAAGACAATTGCATTTAGCTGCAGTGTTCTCTACTACTTCAGGCTCTTTAGGAACAACTGTTGTACCTCATCCATATTACGAAAGGCAGGATTTGGACGAACTGCGCCAGCCTTCTCCCAACCTACTATCTCCCCTACTTAAAATTGCAGTGAATAGCTGGCAACTGGAGTAGGGCACTGAGCTATTCATCTCCAGTGGAAAGCTTGAGTAATTCATGGTGTCTGCAGTGTCTTGAGAGAGGAGTGTGTGGATATTTTAATTCTCCCAATTCTCTCCCATTCTCTTCCACCAGTTTCTTACTGTGCATTATATGGGCCCTCCTCTGCTTTCCACTTGTCTCCTCACTAATAAATATAGTTTCTTTCTTGTTAAAAGAATTGTAAGTGATGATGATTATTTTATTTTTACAGTGACATTTATTGGTTTTGGGTTTTTATGCAGAAAAAAATAAAAACAAAATCATCTCCAGATTATCCCTGACACTTGTATGTTTTTAAAATGTTTGTCTGTCAGTACAGTTCTACTCCTTTCTAGTGTCTGTAGTCACTCCAGAGGTAACTACAGTAAACAGTTTATCTTTCCAGAACTTAATATAATATGTATACTACTATGCATATGCATCCTTTAAAAAATTTGAGACAGAAGGAAGCATGTAGTAATACTCACTGTTCTCGATTTCTTTTTTAAATTAACAATATGTTTTGGAGCCTTTTTTCATACCAATACTAACAGATCTAGCCCCTTCTTTTAATGCCTATATGGCATTCAATTTATATGATGTACCCAACAACCAGGAGGACTTCTTGTTTCCAATTTTTGGTCATTATAAACAATGTTACATTTAACCTGGTTGTATGTCTATCTTGGCCTACTTTTGCAAAAATATCTGTACGGACTTGCTGCATCAAAGGATGCATGTTTTTAAATTTTTGATAAAAACTGTCAACTTGTAGCCCCACCACCAAAGGCTGCACTGACTTACAAATCTACCAGCTGTGTATGAGATTGCATGCGTCTCCAGACCTTCACCAACACTTGAACTACTGCTAGTATTATGGGGGAAAATGATACCTTATTTTGAGTTCTTCAATTATGGGTAAGGTTTTATAGTTTCTTTGATAACCTACAGTTTTCAGAGTCCATGTGGGAGAAAAGTTGCCTGGTAAGGCTAATTGGCAATCGTGACTAATTTCTTTTTGGAATAAAAGAAGGAGCATAGTGCCATGGGGACTAGGATGTTATTGCATTTATTTCAACTCTTCTAAGGTTCTACAAGGTTTTATGGGTGTCAGGCAGAAAAGGGGCATGAAATATCTTTGGAACTCTTCTTAACTTTGCATCCACTGGAGTTTGGGGATGAAATTACAGATCTTCACTGTTAGAATTCCTCTAGTACAAGTTGGTTTGGGGGAAGAGAGCGCCCTTTTTCTTTTCCATGTAGGATTAGTTATGCTGAGTTGCAATAGATGATTTGTCTCTTGAGCACTACTGCCTAGAAACGCCAACCTAGATTTTGGGGCAACTCTGTATCTGTTGGGAGGACAAGCCTGGAACATGATAGAACTTTTTCAGGGATACTTCAAGTGTAGGGAGAGATTTTAAGGAATTTGTGAATCTCTTACAACTGCAGGAAAAATTGTGTGGCTTATGTATCTGAGTGAACACACGTCATATTTTCTCTAGGGATGGTAGAAAGCTTTTACCAAGTTCTCATAGAGACCCTTGACTCCAAAAGGGTAAGATTGCTTGGTGTTCTCATTACCCTAGATTTTAAACCTGTTGTGGTTCCTTATCAGGATTTTAAATGACTTCTAGCTTGTAATTGCATGGGCATGTGGGTGAATCAGGGCCTGCTGTCCTAGAAACTGATAATCTCCTTGGAGCAGTGATGAGGGTCTCACCCTGAACACCTTCTCCTTCCTGGCTTAATCTATGTATTAGTCAACGTTTGAATGATTTCCCTGACTTACCCCAAGCCTACACTATACCTCTCCACTTGGTAGCCTGAAGGTATAGTAGCAGAGTCACTTTTGTCCCACTGCTGCCCTGAAATAAGCTGATTAGAGGGCTGGCTGGCAGAAAAAAAAAAAAGTCAGCTCTAAAGAAGACTTTAATTATAATATGATCTGACTTCCTCATTGTACAGATTAAGAATAAGAAACTAGCCCAGCGAGGTAAGGGGAGGCAGAAGAGCTGCCTTTAGTATAGGAAGAATAGGCTCTGAAGCCATACTTACTGGGTACAAATCCAGGTAGTACACCTTAATAGGCATGTGATCTTGAATAAGTTACTTCACCACTCGGTGTCTCATAATAATAACTAATAACTAACATTTATTAAGCATTACTTGCCCTCTGGGTATTGACCATCATATGAATAATTACCTTATTTAATCCTTACGATAACCCTATGAGGTAGCTTCTATTATTTTATGATAAGAAAATCAAGGCACAGAGAGGTGAAATAACTTGTATGTTATATTTGTGTGTGTGTGTGTGTGTGTGTGTGTGTGTGTGTGTGTGTGTATCATCCTTCCCCTTTCCCCTGTTTTTCTTTTTCTTTTTTTAGTTTTTATTTTTAGAGACAGGATCTCACTGTGTTGCCCAGGCCTCAGGCTTCCAAGTAGCTGGGATTATAGGCATGAGCCACCACACCCAGTTCCCTCTCTTACTAAATCAGATAGGGTCCCTGTACATTCTAGTTTTCTTTCATCTATGCCTCCTTACAATAGAACTTTTTCAGAATTCCTCTCAAATTTTTCCAATACCGACCTGTTATATTCTGAAGTCTGAGTCCTTTAGACTTTCTGTCCCTGAAAGTTAAACCTTATTTCACTGTCTCATGGCCCAGAACCTGTTCAAACTTCTTACCTTTTATAACCCTGGAAATCTGCGTATACTAGTTATTTTACTGCAACACTTTAGATCAGAGGTTGTAAACTAGCTGCCTGTAGGCCAAATTCAACCCACAGAGATATTTTGGTCTACCTGATATGCTAGAATTTGAAAAATTATAAAGTAAAATTGCAGTTTCTTACATCTCTTGAAAAAGACGAAAGATGTGCTCTCGTTGGGCCTTTATTCTCATACGGCAAAAGTCAGCCAAAGCCTCTGTGATGTTCGTTCAGGGTCCCACCACATCTTGATGTCTTAATACCGGTGTGTCCCTCATTTACATCACTTGCCTGGCCCTGTAGACATTGGAGTTGGAAAGTTCTGCTTTAGGGATTTTAGTGGTGATGAGTGGGTACTGGGGAGGAGAGGCTTGAGTGTAAGTGACTGGGTAAGAGAACATTTCACACTTGCAAGTGTACATTGCATGTTCTGTCAAGGTTTCATTTATTTCATTTAGATGATTTCTGCTGTTTTTTTCACAACCAACCTCCTTTCTTACTGCCAGTGTTGCATTTATATCTATCTTGGGCTGTTGCAGTGCCTCTGAACAGTTTTCAGAACTGAGATCCTCTAATGTCTAGAGAATTCAGGAAAAGCAAAAGTTTCCCCTGCTCTCACTCTGTCATCCTTTTCATTGCCTGTTTTAGCTGTCTGCTTACTCACCACCTCTCTCCCTTCTAATCTCTTTAGTTTCTGCCAGGAACTGTTAGTTCTATGATAGATAACAGTGTCTTGCTTTGACAAGGATAATAAAGAGAGTGGTTTTTTTTCCCACTCAATAATAAAACTGGGTCAAGCCAAGAATCCCTATGAAGACTTGCCTTATAAGATGGTGTTTTCACTTGTGTAAATGATGCATCTGAAAATGGGCAATGAACGCA